AGACCCATGACTCCAAATCAACAGAGACCCCAGTGGGTAGAGGACCTCTACTATCTCCTTGGATCAAGAAGCCACAAAAACCCAGTGTGTCGGTGCACTTTGTGCTAAAAAGGGGTCATGGAAGAGTTGAACCCCAGCCTACTGATGTGCACTCAATCCAGGGTGCCACTTACTCAGGGGGGAATTTCTCCCTTTTCCTCACTCCTTTCTGGACTGCTCAGCAGCCCACACCAAGGGCAGTCTTGATCTGTTTCCCACTAAGATTATCTACTCACTCAGCTCCCAAGGTCATCACCAAAACTCCCAGTGCAGGTATTCTGAGTCCCCATTGCCTCTGTGGGTTCCATATCCCCCCCCCCACTCCTTCCCTCCACTAACCTTTTTTGTATTTCTTTGAGTTCTCTCCTTCTCAGTCTCTCCATCTCTGCAAGCTAGAAATGTTTGTTTATTTTTCCCAGTTGTTTAATCTGCTCTTTTTCTCTGCCTTTATTAAATCTGATACTTTGTCTTCCCCTTAGTTGCTCATAACTCCAGTATCATGATTTCTATTTGCTTTACCTACTTATTCAGGGATTAAGTTGATAGAAGGAAAAAAAGTGTGGGTTATAAGTACAATGCCATATTCCTCCACCATGGCAGCAATTCAAGGTGTTTACTTCAAAGTGGGTATATCATCCCAGTCATTTCTTTTTTCTGAGTCTTAGTAAAGTTGAATTTAACACGATGCAATCTATGATATCTTATTTACTTTTGCACTGATACAAAGACTGGTCTTCCTTGGAGAAGCCTGCAAAACTGAAATATTAGCTTGCTTTCCTCATCTGAGGATAGGTTCAGACCAGATGAGTTTCTCTTCAGCTGGGACATTGCATATCATCACTTCTTATCCAGAATGAGAGGTTGAGGTGCATCCAGAGAAAGTGAGGTTTCCTTACCTCAGCACCTAGCACAGTGCCAGTACATAGCAGAGTCTCAAAAAATGGCTACTCTACATTTGTGTTATGCTTAACCTTCCAAAGCACAATCAGAGCTATGTCTCAGTTTTCTATTTATTGTTACCCTTATTTCACAAAGAACAAAGGCCCAGGGATATTAATTGGCTTTCTTATGGTCATAAAGGAATCAGGGGTCAGAGTGAGGACCATCACCTCAGATTTCTAACTCCGTTTTTGCTGTTACCTGTTTCCAAGCAGGATCACATTCACAGGTACAGGGGCCAGGAATTCAACACATATTTTAGGGGACATAGTGAGCCTTCCTAGGGTTTCTGAGGCAGTATTTCTATAGATTGCCCAATCTTCCTTCCAAGGAGTGGCTGGTGGGTTTGAACCACCAGCCTTCTGGTTAGCAGTCAAACACATTAGGCACTACACCACCAGAGTTCCCAATTCAATCCATAACAGGCTTTCTTTGTTATTGTCAACATCCGTGTCTCCCAGTTACAATGGGCTCTGGACTTTGTTGGTTGGCTGGATGAAACTGTCATAGTGGGTAAAGGGAGGATTTTGGCAAGAGATGGCTTTTGATTTGGATGGGTTTGGCAGTGGGAGAAGAAATTTGAAGGGTTCAGAAAATAACCACATGATGCATTAGAGATCCTTCCCTGCAGTGCCTGATAGTTGGGGACATACAAATTGTTAGGGTCCAAGGTGTAAAGCTCACAGTGGACTCCAGTACAGGATAAAAAGAGGAGCAGAAAAGAAGGAAATGTATACTGCAGGATACAGGTTGGGGAATTTTCAGTTCTGGGCTTAGGACATCTCTCTGCAGCCCTGGGAATGCCATCTGGAAGTCCTCTGATGTCTCCCCTATCAGAAAAAAAGCCACAGCCTAGTAGGTCTACCACATGCCTCCTACTCACTCATGTAAAGTCCTCCCAATATCCAGATTTCTTGACCAACTGGGAAGGGAGTACCAAAGCCCCAGCTAGGTGTTCCTCTCACCTGTCTCATTTACATCCAATTTCCCCAACTCTTCTCTCTGTTTCCCAGCACTTGGTTATACCTTGCTCTTCACAAATGAAGATACACTTTCAGCAGCTTTCAGCTGGGACATGAGCCTAGAAGTCATAAAAACCTCCTTCTTGTGGGTTTCACCTGAGCACAAAATGCATCTATTGTCCATGTCTTTTTGGACACTAGGAGGCCTGAGATGCAGGATGGGTAGAGAATATGCCCTCACCTCAATATCAGGGGAGGAACCCACCAAGACATTCATCTGGAGGATGCTTGACCTCAGAACCCCTAACTCTGGACCCTTTTAACCCAAACTCCACAATTACAACTGAAAACCACTCTGAGACCAGGTTTAAGTGGAAAAAGTGCTGAGATCAATGATGCCAGAAAGAGAGTAGAGCTACCCTGTAGGAGAAGAGGATGGGAGACCATAAGCATTCTGATGCATTCACTTGGCTCTTCAAACACTACCTCCTGCATCTTGTGATTCCAGGCATTTTTCTGCATATGTGTTTGGAAGGATGGGGCACACTTGACCTTGTGGGAAGTGGGCCATAGTGAATGTCTTAATCTGTGTAAGACATGGCGTGAATTAAGTTCAGCCCATTTCCTTAAGCCACCAGGACCATTTCTTGGTCACTCTCTCCACACCTTTAGGGTTATGGTTAGTGCATATATCCTTGGCCCTCCATCCAGCACACTGGTCACTGATTTCCTGTGCTTCCTAAGCCTGGGCCATTCTGAGCTTTTCTACACCATCTGATGCCAAGGAACTTGCTGAGCCTCCTGTCTAGGAAATGTCATGCTCATTCTCTTTCCCCAAAGCTCATGTCAAGAACTGAGTGACCAACCACCCTCCTCAAAGTATGTTCTCAAGGCAGGGCTGAACTGGAACTAAAAACTAAAGTGGATAGGGAGACCAGGGGACCAGGAGAGATGTTCTGGCTGCAGCCACAGGCAGTGACAGAATTCCCTTCCAGGTAGTAATACACAGCTTCATATAGCAGGAAGAGGGCAGCAGAGAGATTTGTGTATAACAGCCAGTGCCTTCACCTAGAAATGGGAGTAACTTGTGGCCAGGAACAGCAAGAGACACAGAACCTCAGAGTTGAGAGAGACTGGTGGAAGCAAGGACACTCACCAGCCTGGATAACCTATCAGCTTTGCAAAAGGGTCTGCTGCTGGGAACAGAGCACAGTCTCAGGAGGACCAACAACCAGGAAATCATGTGTGGCAGTGTGAATGAACTCCCTTTCCTACCAGAGTGGGGCAGGTAGGGTGAATGGGGCAATACGCTAAGCTACAAGTGACTGTTTTGAGGCTGTTCTGTGGAGACAAGGCAGGGGCTGGTGTCTGATATACTCTTCAATCAGCCTGGCCCATTTGTTCACCTGGGAAAGCCTACAGTGAGCTACCACTCAGCCCTAAAGCATCCTGAGGAAGCTCCAGACTTTGTTATGTGCTACAAAGTGCTGAATGGTGCCTGTTGACAGAGGCAAACTAGGGGTTATTTCCTCAAACACATCTGAGCCATGAAAGGCTGGGTGTCCAAGGCCCTCATGCTGGACCAGGATTGCAAAGACTTCTATTCAAAGCAAGAAGGACTATAGGTAGTTCTTCCCTAAAAATCTGGTGAGAGATGTGCTGAGTCCCTGAGTAAACTGGAGACATGCTCCCTTTACATTTCAGGAATGAGCTCTTCCCCAGTGCATCTGAGGTAGGTGTTCTGTCTCTAAATTCAGCTAACATGGCAGCCTTCAGTAGCTGGGTGGAGTGTGGGTACTACATAAAATGTAGACTGTGTGGAGGGGCTGGGAAGCATCATTTTATGCTGAGGTTACTTGATGTAGTAGTACACAGGGTTCCAGGCTCCACAGAGAAAGTGTTATCAACTCCCTTCTGCTTCTTCAGAAGGGACTTTTCTCCTCACCTCCTTCTCTTCCTTGCCTTCTTTCTCCACCCCAAGGAGAACAGACACTATTTGAAGCACTGTGTCCTTTATTCTACTTTGGCATGTCTGGGGCGGGGGGG